GTAATATATTATATGCAGAAATGTACTAAATAAGAAGAGGAAGAAGAAGAAAAAGGTAAAGATACAAATTATGAACAACAAATGCACATCTATCAACAAGTGAATCTAAAAATCAAGTGAATAAATAATCTGATGAACAGAATAAATTGGTGAATATAATAGAATCAGGAGCATAGCAAGGGAGTGGACTGACTATTCTCAGGGGGTAAAGAGGTGTGGGGGGTGCGGGAAGAGACTGGACAAAAATCGTGCACCTATGGATGAGGACAGTGGTGGGGGAGGGGGATGGGAACCAGGTGGAGGGGAGCTATGGGGGGATAAAAGAGGAATAATTGTAATAATCTGAACAATAAAGATTTAATTTAAAAAAATGATATATCCAGCCCGGCTGGCATGGCTCAGTGGTTGAGTGTTGACCTGTGAACCAGAAGGTCACGGTTAGATTTCCGGTCAGTGCACATGGCCAGGTTGAGGGTTCAATCCCCAGTGTGGGACATGCAGGAGGGAGCCAATCAATGATTCTCTCTCATCACTGTCTCTCTCTCCCATCATCTCTGAAATCAATAAAAATATACTTAAAAAATATTAAGTGCAAATATTAAACTCTATGATATGGACACTGCAGTGTTCAGGGGTGAAGTATACTGGAACTTACTTTGAAATGCATAAAATATGGTGACTTGATAGATGGACAGATATGGGTATATGGGCGCTTACTGAACAATTTTCTTGTAATTTTAAGTTTTTTCATAATAAAATACTGAGGAAGAGGGATATTTGCCTAATTCTTAAAGGTCTACTGTGTAACAGGAGGATCACAGAAAATTCAGGAATTAAGAGACCAAGCTTTGAGAGCCAAGCAGTGCAAGTAATGGTGTTTCCCCATCTTCAGCACTAGGGCTGAACTAGCTGAACACTAGGGTGCCTTCTGAACAGAATGGTATGTCTGAGGCGGGAGGCTGTAAGGTCCCTGAAGAATCAATAGGCTGCACATAGGGAGAGCTTTGCTGTGCATCTGTAGCTGCCGCTGTGGTGGTAGCCCCCATTCCGAGTGCAGAGGACGTGGAGATTTCCACCACCTCTGTCTCCGGTCTCATGGCACTTCCTCTTCCTTTCGCGCCTTCCATTTCACTGACCTTTGATTCCATTACCATCCACACTGTCCTTCCCACCTTAGGGAATGCAAATGCTGCCCTTCCCCGCTGTTGAGGAACTCCTTTTCCTACCCCTGGCCCCTCGCTAATTTCTGTTCATTCTTAGACCTCAGCTTCGTTAGCCCACAGACCACACTGGGCACTCCCACTCCACCCCCAACTAAAGCACATGTGAAATGATCCCAGTTACTTACTTTGACAATATTTAATGTCTCTCTCCTTAAACTAAAAGATCCATGAGGGCAGAAATTGGCCAGCAGGTGACTTGTACAGGACAGTAACGGCTTACCTTCATAACCCCGTTATAAATAAGCCCAACCTTTTAGGGTTAAAAGTGTAATTTTATTTAGATGTTACTTGTACATAATCTATAGTAAGATATACAAACAGATAAAAATTGTTTAACAGGAGTTCTTTAATACCACTTTAAATTTAATTTACAATAGTGTTGGTAATACAGTAGGTCCTTGGGTTACATTGGAGATCAATTCC